TCTTGGGCTTCAGCAAATTGAGATGTCAGAAGTCAAACAGTATGTGCTTCATTGAGAATGGAAAGGTCTTTAATTGTGTTGATTGTTTCAAGTTTTGAAATGCTTAGAAAAAATAGGAATTCCACAACTTTTTATTGTTCCCATGTGAAACTTATATGCATATCAGAAAGCCACAGTATAAAGAGAACATGGAAAACAGTCTGAATCCAGATTGGAAAAGGAGTGAGGCAAAGATGTATACTCTTCCCTTATTTATTCAATCTATACATGGAATACATGTTGAGGGAAGCTGGATTGGAAGAAAATGAGCATGATTTTAAAACTGCAAGAAGAAACATTGGCAATCTGCATTATGCTGATGACGCTATTCTGAAGGCCAAAAATGCAAATGATTTACAAGGTCTTGTAAAAAAAAAAAACCAACAACCTCGAGCACAGTTTAAAAAATAGTATAGTTAAATATAAGGAAGATTAAGGAAGAGCCTTAAAATTGACAGCAAGGATATTGAAGTGGTACATAGCTTTTGCCTTTACAACCAATTAACAACAGTAAATGAACAGCAGTCAAGGAATACACCATAGAGTAGGTTTTTCTGTCTACTTGTGTCCAACTCTAGGGTACAGTGTTTATCTCTGTTTCTTGGCTGAGGGAGCCAGCATTGTTTGAAGACACTTCCGTGGTCATGTGGCCAGTATGGCTATACACTGATGGACACAGAATGCTGTTACCCTAATTTACTCACATTTGCATCAGGGGTGGGTTCTAAATTTTTTTACTACCGATTCTGTGGGCATGGCTTATTTTGTGGGCGTGGCTTGATGGTCATGTGACAATTATTTAGGATTTAGCAGAGGTACTGGTCTACCAGGCTTTTAACTGCTTGCAGAGCTGTACCGATCTACCCATTTATTTTTGCAGGCACTGATCTAATCATGTATTTTGGCAGGCACCGGTCTACTCATTTGTTTTCTATTAACACTGATCAGCTGTAGGGGGGCCCTTTGAAGCCCCGCAGCAAGAGTTTAAACAGTTTTTTTCCTCTGCCCATCAGCTGGGACTCAGGAGGCAGCAATAGATTGAGGGTGGGGCCAAATAAAAGGTAACAATAACGCGGGGGAGTTGGGGGGGCAGAACCGGTTCGGTGACATCATATCGTCACCGCTACCGGCTTGGGGGAACCGGGCCGAACTGGGAGGAACCCACCACTGATTTACATGTTTTGAAAATGCTAGGTGGGCAGGAGTTGGGGTAAGTAACGGGAGCTCACCCCATTGCATGGCACTCAGGTCTCAAACCCAGGCCATCAACTTTCCAGCTGACAAGCTCAGCATCTTTAACCACTAAGCCATTTGTGCCCCCATTCACATCACTGACTAGCACTCTGCAAAATAGCAATAAGGGCCTTGGAAAAATTATTCAGATGCCAGCACCTGTTTATACCTCAAAAAATTAGAATGTGCAACTGTGCAGGCAATTTTCCTAGGACACTCTATAAAAGTGAAAATTGGACTTTGAAGAAGCAGGATATAATATTAACAGTTTTTTTAACTTTGGAGTTGGAAAAGACTTCTGAGAGTACCATAAATAGACAAAAAAACAACCCCAGATTAATATCAAACAAATCAATCCAGATTTTTTACTTAAAGACACAAATAACCAAGCTCAATTTATCATCCTTAGGTATACTGTGCATAGACCTCGCTCTCCTGAGACCTAATCCTGGGAAAGATGGAAGGAAAGAAAGGAAGAGGAAGAACAAGGGTGGATTTTCTTTGGACAGGGAAGTAAAAATGCAAAAGAATCACTGTTGCGCTTGAGCATACTAGCCTTCAGTGTAAGAGAATATATGTAGTTCAAGATTGAACTGTGGGGTCCTTGGTGCTCTCTGAGCTTTGCTTGTTTGCCTGCAGTCATTTCATTACCTGACTAGGTAACATAATAATGATTCCTAGATGGGTAATGAAACATCTGCAAATAACCAAGCTCAGAGATCAGCAAGGACTCCTCATACTATTACCCTGTTTCCCCCAAAATAAGACATCCCCTGGTAAATAGAATAGTTACTACACCTGGGCTGGAAAAATCTGATTTCCCACTATGTGTGGGAAATGTGTTTCAGCTATAATAATTTTTAGGATCAGGCTGGGCCACCAGATTTCTACTATGATTATTTTAGCATGACTCCAATCAGGTTTTTGCCATTATTTTCTTCATATTGGGGGTCTAAGGTGCAACTTTGCACATAAAATAGTATAATGGACATGACCAGGGTAAGGGATGAGAAATTATGTCATAGTAAACATACTATGTTTTCAAGATGATAATCTTTGCATAGTTCAATAGTTAAGATTTATGAAAGATTCCCTCCGAACTAATACTATTGGACTTATCTCATGGGAGATTCCACATTATGATGGAATGCCAAGAAATTCTATACTTCTCTACTCATTCACTGATCACACACACACACACACACTTTGATATCAGTGTTGATTTCTGGCAACTGCCCGTACCACTCCCTGTAGTTTCCTTGGAAAAACTTTCAGAGTGATTTGCCTAGGGCTGAGAGTGAATGATTGGCCCAAATTTATTCAGCTGCTTCTGTGCCTAAGGTGAGGCTGGAATTCACAGCTCCTGTTTCAAGCAGGGTGCCTTAACCATAACACCAAACTGGCAATATATATTCTATGCAATCTCTTCCTCTAGCCCAGGGGTATCAAACTCACGTCATCACAGCAGCGTCACATGACATATCTGGACTCTCCCCCTCCCCTTCACTTAATGGGGCGTGGGCATGGCCACTGCGTGACGCATCCGGCCCACAAGTTTGACAGTCCTGCTCTAGCCTATTCCTATTCCCCATTGCAACTGCTTTAAAGAGTCAGGTGCCGTATTTGTGCTCTGGCACATTCCATTGGACATTGTGCACAGCTCTAACACACGGTACAAACTTGGAACACAATGTTTAATTTAGTTCCATGTCATGCTGGAAGCAGGTATGCTAAAAAGTTGTTCAGCTCCTCACTGCATTGATGAACACACACAAAAACCACAACTACTGCAGTAGCTGTGCTTCACAATGAACTCATTAATCCATTAGATGCTATGAAAACATAAAGTGTTTGATTAAGAGCTCTGGCGAGCTAAAACATCCCTTGTTGTAATGGGAAGGCGTTCCAATGGAAATTGGTGTAGGATGTAGGATCCTGGCTGCCAAAATGTTCTCTGGATTAAGAAGCAATCTTCGAGATAGCCCAAATAACTGCACAGCCTTCCTCTTGAGTAAACCACAGGAATTATCATTTTGGGGTTTGCCTGCAGGTAGCTGGGAGTTGATGGAGGAATTATCTTTGCTCATAATAATTAATGCAGCTTTTTAAAGAATCATAGGCTTGACCACACCTTACTTCTCAATCATATTGGATTTTTTTCTGCTGTTTTAAAAGGATTAAGACCCTTCAGAACAGTGAATTATACTGTATTTATTAATAGAGTCACCTTCTCCTTAGAAAAAGAACTTAGTTTTTAAATGTTTTTGAAAAATATTACTTTATGCATTAAACAGCAAGAGTGCTTGGAATTTGGATTTATAAAGTTTAATAATAAAGTTAAAATTATAATTTATAATTATGCACAGAGTTTTGGGTTAATTAGAAAAAAATTAACATGGGAAAATGGCGATTGTTTTGAATGTTTTCATGATAAGGGAATCTTGAAGGTTGAACACTAGAGGGAGCTAGTGGATTAAGAAAATGAAGCAAAAATCTTTTGCAAATTTGGTTTGTCTGCCACATTTTTTTTTAGCAAAATAGATATCACTTCTTGATAAGATTAACAAAGCTTGTTGTAATGAAATTAAAAGTTCAGCAGATGATTTTGAAATTATTTTTAAGGGGGGACTTAAATGTAAAAAGTAATGAGAAAGACATGGAAGAAGATATGGGCCTAACAAATGGAACTGATGATTTATTCCCAAAAGGAGATATACAAATATTGAATCAGGAAACTGATTTAGATATTTTTTTATATACAAAAGAGCTCTGTTAAGGTTTGGAAGGACTTTATTAAAAGTGAGAAACACAATCTAATTGGATATACAAAAGAAATCTGCTAAAGTTCTGAAAAAAATACTGTTTGAAACAGATGAACAGAAAATTAATTCTGAGGCTCTTTTTGAAGGGTTTAAAAGATACTTTAAAAACCTAGGGAACCTGGTTTATTTGATGAGGGCTAAAAGAGAAAAATATTTACATCTGGTTGCCCTGAGTGGCTTTTGGTGACAAAGAAGTTGGATTTGTTTTTTTTAAATCAATAGATGAGCTATGTTAGAGCTATTAAGATTGTCTTTACTTGCTATGATGTAGGGGGAACTCTTTTTTCCACTTTTTTTTCTTTTACATTTTTCAGTTTGTATTTTTGTAGCTTGTATTGGCTTCTATTCTTTTAATTTATAATAAAAGTGAATCACTATTGTTGTTAAATCAGTAATACGCTTGTTAAGTGAATCTGGTTTCCCCATTGACTTGGCTTGTCAGAAAGTTGCAAAAGATGATCACGTGACACCAGGACACTGCAACCATCATAAAACCCTAAGCGAACTGTTGTAAATCAAGGACTACCTGTAGATATCTGAATTTTGGGGATCATTCACCAATTCTCCTGAAGCAAATTAGTTTGGAAAAGCTGAACTAGGTATTTAAGTAAGCAATACCCATGTATCCCAAGACAAGCAATAGCAATCTACTTCCATACCATTGTCAAAAAACTATGACTATGAATCATTTAAAAGACTAACTTTCTCAATATCATCTAGCCCTTACGTTCAAGTTAGATGGCGAGGCCCTGCTTCTGATTCTAGTTATGGATCTGGCTCACATTGAGAAACTGAGGAAACGTACCAGTTCCAGCATCCTCTCCCTACTTTTGCATGGCAAATTTTCTGTTGCTTACCGAATTGGCAGAAGTAAATTATTATTCCAAGAATGCTAAATAAGTGACACAGGTTTCCAACTCATTTATTACAAAGATCAAAAGCTGTATCACTTTACAGATTGTTCTCATGAATGGCACAAATACACTAATATGCAAAGTAGCATCAACACAACTTCCTCCTATTAATCCAGTTGTACTCTGTAAAAGAAGCAACATTCATCTGAAATTCATAAGAGATAAACGATGTGCTTCTCATTTGCCACAGATTTGTAAACAGGTTTATTATAGGGTATAGCACCAGATTCCAGAATCCTGCACAAGCTTATATACAAACAGCTTTCTTTTTACTTGGAGAGCATCCTGGTAAAATCATGTTTAACCTGAAATATCTGAACTGCTGCAGCTCAAATGTTACTTGTAGCAAATTAATTTCGTTTTTCCTTAAAAAATATCGTTGGACAGGTAATCTGAAAACTTGTGGGCTTTGATATGCAACATTAGGATATATTTAATTGTAGCAGATACAATTATTATGAGAAATATGATGCAATTTAAAACCATTGATATTTTGCATAATTTCAAGAATCCCATCACTGCTTACGGTTTGATAGGCGAAAACTTACTCGTTATGTAATATTCAGCAATCCTAAACCTTCGCTGTGAAAAGTAAGCAAAAAAAAATGAGCAGATAATAATCTTATTAGATGCCCCTTCACCTGAAATAAGCACTGTGCGCTGTAATCTGTACCAGAGGAAAAGATTGGAGAGTCAGAACAACCAAAAACCCAATTAGCATGGAGTGCTAAGAGTCATAGTCCAGTAGCTTCCTCAGTCCTGGAAAAGCATTAATAGAAAGGAGAAGGTATCCTGATATTTCAGCGCACAGTGGCAGCAGTGAAGCTGCATTTCACAACACTTGCTAGCATGAATGAGAACCAGACTGAACACAAAAATAGAGAAACTGTTATTACCATGTATCAGATAACATTCTAAAACAATGATTTGGGGGTGTCACAAACTACATCTCAGGAGGATTATGGAAAGAGAGCTTCTAGAGCCTAGTGGATATTGCAATATCACCTTTTGCCCATTCACCCCAGTGCAGGTGAGGAGCCGTTCACATTTAAGGAGGGAGCAGGAGCCATCTTTCCAGCAACACTCATTTCTTATGACCACCATTTCCAACCTACTCACTTGGAAGCAAGTCTCGTCAGCTTCAAAGGAAACTTATTTGCAAGCAAACGTGTTGTGAGGTGGGGAAAGGGAGGAATCCGGTTTATTCCACAAAAACATTTAAAACCGAGGGCCTGAGTAAGGCTTTACACTGGTTTGAAGATCAGTTATTTCACCAAGCAATTGTCCAGACAGAGTTGCCTCACTTCAGAAGAAGTTCTCCTTATTGATCCACATGAGGCTGCGCGTTTCGTTGGGTTTGCATTCATACTCGATGCAGCCAAAGCTGTTTCCCCATTGGCAGTGGTCTCGCTTGTGATAGTTGTAGAATTTGACTTGCCAAACTGTTTCAAAAGCACCTATGTCAGTGACCTGGAGAAAAAGTACAAACTCATCTCATTGTTTCACCAGAGCAGCGTTTCCTCTTTATATATATTGACATGACCAACCAAACCATACAAGAGGCCATAAAATCCATAGTGTGTTGCATAGCAAGGAGTAAAGTCCTCTCTCTCAAAATAGATATGTATCGGTGTAATCTGTTCACATCTGGGAAGAGGCTAAATATTTTACTGCCTAATAAATCTGCCTCAGATTGTAGCATAACTGCCAATGAACAGTTAGTTCATTAGTTTGGATCTAGATTTGCAAGAGATCAGCAGTTTTATTCAGAGCAACATTTCTGCTGAAAGGGCAAAAATGAGCTGATCTTTGCCAACTACTTTCTTTCTGTATCAAGCAAGTTCCTCTCTTTCTTCCCAAAAATTTGGAGTGAAGGATTGTTCTATTTTCCCCATAGAGCAGATATACACAAACTTAAGGAATTAAAGTTTTCTTTAACGATCGGAATAAAATTCTTGTCTGTGAGTATATGTACTATTAAAGGTAAACAAGGGAAGGCATTGCCAGAAATTGTCTATGGAGATTCTCAGTCATCCAGGTCATGGTTGTCCCAAAGGTGCTTTTTCAAGAGGCAACTGGACTTTCTGGTTTTTTCTTTTGAAGACGTTTCGCTTCTCATCCAAGAAGCTTCTTCAGTTCTGACTGGATGGTGGGGAATGGAAGAATTTATAATCCTTGCAGACAGCTGGTCATTTGCATTCTTTTAGCTAATCCAGAAAGTCCAGTTGCCTCTTGAAAAAGCACCTTTGGGATCACTAGAAATTATCTTTCTTCAGAAATATATTTAAGAAATATATTTAAGTCTTAGTTCTGTGCAGTTAATGTAGAGCTGTAGTAAGTCTCTATGTTAATGAAATAAATAATATGGTCATAAACTGAGAAGAATGGTGAAAGGAGTATGAAGAGGAGAGGGAGGGGGAGGAGAGGGAGGGAAGGGAGCTGGGAAAAGCAGTGCAGGCAAAGTAGAATGAAGGGAGAAACCACACAAAGAAGTGGTACATAAAGAAAAAAAAAGCAGTGAAGGAAAGTGGGGCAAGAACAGATAATAGTTGGGGAATTTAGTATATAAGAGAGGAGGGAGATGTTCAACAAAGGGAAATATGGCAAGAAATAGGTAAAGATGGAGAAAAGGTGGGAAATCCAATGAACAAAAAAGAGGTCAGGCTGTGTCGGGTAACAGGTTGCATCTTTCCCACTGCTGGGACAGAAGGCCGCACTGCTATCACTCTTCCCATAAAGCATGATTGTCAAATTATATTGGAAGTCAAGAGATTTTGAAAAGAACTCAATTTAAAGAAACACTGCAAAAAACATTTGGTCACGTTACTGATGATAGCTAATCTTCGTCAGAATTTCAGCCCAGCGTTTGTGATTTTGCTCATCTGTATGTATTTCAATTTTTCCAATGGAGTGATTTATTATAAAACTCCTTTCCATAATGACTTGTGAGTCAACTCAGAATCAGAAGCTTCTATGTCTCATATATCAGACACAAATATTTGCTGAATATTAGTTTATAAAGTGCAAAGCGATACAACATATTTCTGGCCCCAAAATTTATGGAGTGGTATCAAAGGGACCTTCAGTATTGTTTTAAAATCGTAATTGTTAATTTAGTCAAAGAGAAAAGTTCTTAAACATATAGAATAATCATATGAGCTGTACTTCATGTATATTTTTTTAGGTTTGAATTTTAATTTCACCAAATCAAATGTAGCTTCTATCTGGAATCGATTTTCACCTTTATCCTGGAACCTCATGCTTTTGAAAATGCAGCCCTGGCATTAGATATGCTTTCCATTTGCAGAGTCATTGATTTCAAATGTGTTTCAAGAGAGTAGAAAGATCCAAACCACAGGTAGATTTTAGCAGATGACATGACAATGATACTGTTGACCACTTAAGCTTAGTGAGAGAAGAATGACCTTGTAGCACCAATGTTATTTTAATGGTCTCTCCCATCTAACCCCGTGGGAAAATCTTATGAAGAGCTAAGCATCAGTTTCCCATGTAAAATACACTGATCTCTAGGAATGGTTGTTAAAACTTTTGAAAGTTTACTTAAGTAAACTTAGGTTTACTGCTTAAAGTTCATAAACTGAAATAGATAAGAGACACATTTAATATTTTTAAGGGTTCCCAAATTTAGAGGGGGTGGTATCACATGAGACACATAAGCCAATCTGGGATTTGGGAGTGGTTCTTTGCTTTTTTAACTGCTTACTTCAGAGTTTCCACATATTTGTTAGTTCAAAATGGCAAGCAACTGTGACTTTTCAGAAATCATTGCCAGAGATTTCAAAAGCAGGAGGTTGGGAGGGTGGGGTATAGGTGACTCTAGAACCATAGGCTGCCCACTCTTGTCATGAACTTTGATGAGGATGATGCAATAACAAAGAATAGATTACTAATTATTTTGGGATGTTAGACATAGATGAGGATCTGATGGGCACTCTGACAAATAATAACATAGGCAGAAAGCATTAATTTACCAGGAAGGTAAGTTGGGAGAAGTTATTCCAGACCATTTCTGGCCATCCATTCTGCTGTCTATCTCCCTAGCTTTCTTTCTTTTTCTTTCTTTCTTTCTTTCTTTCTTTCTTTCTTTCTTTCTTTCTTTCTTTCTTTCTTCTTTTTTTTTTTTTTGCTTAGCTGGCCAGCATTCTCTCAAATACATTACTAAACCCCCTTCCCCCCCCCTACTTTCTAAGAATACCTATCAAACTTATGTGAAGCCCAAAGGCATTCTTCAGAATAGAGGATACTAGAGGATTGTGCTTTGCTATGAAAGTCCATTTCCCCTGCATATTTTAATTAAAATGACTATAAATGAATAAAAGCTCACATGAAGTAGAAGACACACTGGAAGTCTTTCCAGGAATATGACTGCTTGTAATTGCTCACATGATGGTAATGCGAAAACTTATTTAGAAGATTCTAGAAACTTCCTTAAGGGGACAGTTTTATCTGATTTAATGATCCTTGGCAGAAAAATGTATAAAATAGGGAAGTAACCTAACATAGACCTCTACTCTTAAAGTACCAACATTTTGCAGATCTACATATAGCATACTAGGGATGAACAATTTTTTCCCAGTTGAAAACTGTCACATATTCCCAGAAGTACATTGGACCAGAAAAAAAAACCCTGAAGATGGGGCTATTGACAAGGAACAAATTCTTTCCTCTGGGATAAATCGTGCAGCCATGCGTGCAGCCATGGTCCTTCAGGTGGTGCATCTTTGTTTTTTATCAAGACATGGGATGCTGAACTTCCCACTCCTCAATTGAAATAGACAAGAGGAATTTTTCAAGTCAGAGATGAGTGCATCCAGTTCTGATCATCACTCTTCCAAGCTAATGACCTCTATTCTTGCCTCATTCACCGTTTCAATTTCTGATATTTTAATCAAGGACGTACTTTGAGGCTATAGGCTTGGCAAAGTAAAGGTGAGTTGTAGTTATAGCTGCAACCTTCACAAATGCTTAAAAGGTGAAAATTCATTGTCAGAAGAAATCAGACAGGACATCATCTGAAATAAAGGTTGTGCATTCTGGGAAGAAACCTCCTTTCGAGTAGCAAGTAGTACTGTCAGAACAATCTTAGGGTCAGGAAGCAAACTACATTGTAGTTAGGGCTTTCTTTTCTATAACAGCTGACCAGGGGTGGGTTCTACTTACCTCTACTACCGGTTTGCAACAGGGCCGCGCGCACGCGCAGAAGCTTCCTGATGACATCGGGATCAGAGGGCGGAGCCTCCCACCAGTTTTACTACCAGTTCTTGTGAACCAGTCCGAACCAGGGGCAACCCACCACTGCAGCTGACCACAAAATTAGTTTGCTTCTTTTGGAAGCAGGGAAAAAGACAAATATAAAAATCTGAAAAGGTGTACGCAGCCCAAGCGCAGCTCATTACCATAAAAATGAATATGATCAAATCTATTTCACGTATCATACAGTTTACCGTTTTCACTCTTCTTTCTACTAACTTCATTCCATTTATTTTTCATCCTCCTCCTCCTCCACCCTCCTTTCAGAGATATACACTACCTGTAGGTTGACTTGTATAGGTTGTCTTTCCCCACTTTTGGTATGAGGAACTCCTTCTGTGTCATAGATGCCAGTGTAAGTAACAAGCTGTGGTTCTCTTGCTGTCTCTTCAAGGGGCACATTGACTCCACCTATTCCCATTGTCCTGAAACAGAGTTTGGTAATCTTAATATCTGTTAGTACTTAATGACTGTTAGATCTGTTAGTACTCCCACTGTTTTGAGATGAGAATTTTTTTTAAAAAAATTAAACTGTGATAATGATTTTCTATCCATGTGGTCTATCCACTGCCTTCTCCCATGCAATAAGAATTGATGCCTTTGCTATTGTCACTGAAGTGATCATCTGCCTCCAGCATCTTCTACCATGGGAAGTCATAAATACCAGGTTAGGAATAGATCATCAGGGAGAAAAATCTATCAGTGTGGACACTAAGTATCAAAAATTACTTATGGCACATAATCAATTAAACTGTGGCGGGGAATAACTTCTTAAATGATCTTTCACTCAAAATGAAATATTGAGGTGGAAACATGTGGAAAGGGGGCAGGAAGGAAAGATAATGCTTTAAAGTCTGTCTGTATCTCTTTTGACTAAAATCCATAATGCTGATTCCGCCATCACTTAAATAACACTAATCTAAATTAAGACAATTGAAATAAGGAAAATAGCATGCTCAAAGAAAATTGTAAGGACTTAGAAATCTTGGATGTTGCTAGTTCAAAAGACAGAGAAATGCAAGATACAACAAAACACTTACATAGCTTAAATTAGGAGGATGTGAATCACCCAGCTCCAACAATTTAAATAAAGATTCAATAAAGAGGAAGCATGTGCACAGCTGTACGAAATTGCTAAATTATAGACTAAAAGTGTTCAAGCTTATCCAATACATCAAATCAATTCAGCAATTCAATTTGAATATTTTATCTGAAGACAGAAGTTGCCTCAACTGGCACAGAATCATTTATAGCAAACCTGTGCATTGCCCTTTTACTACAAAGCAAGATGCCCCCATGTCCTCAGATCCCAGATCTCATACATGGCATCAGGTCTCCAAATATTCAGAAAAGAGAATTTTCCTAGCTTTACCTGGAAATACTCTGCATGTAAAGCACATGTACACCAGTGGTGGGTTTCAATTTTTTTTACTACTGGTTCTGTGGGTGTGGCATGGGCATGGCATGGCTTGGTGGACATGGCAGGGGAAGGATACTGTAAAATCTCCATTCCCTCCCCACTCCAGGGGAAGGTTACTGCAAAATCCCCATTTCCTCCCAATCAGCTGGGACTTGGGAGGCAGAGAATAGATGGGGGCAGGGCCAGTCAGCATTTTTACTACTGGTTCTCTGAACTACTCAAAATTTCCGCTACCGGTTCTCCAGAACTGGTCAGAACCTGCTGAATACCACCTCTGATGTACACTTCCAGGCTACAGCCTTTACTGTTGCACTCCTCTTCACCTAGAATAGGCAAGCAACCTTGTGACCTCCAAACAGCAACCTCTTCCAGCACCATCAGTTGCAAAGGAACATGGGACTTTTAGCTACGACATCTGAAAGGCACACACACACCCCACCCCAATGCTTAAAAACGGGAGCCTTGGGAAACTGGGCCACATCTTACCATATCCCCAAATACAGCATAGCTGTATAATCTATCCTTTTAATACAAGCCATGAACTTACTGATCTCAAGAGGCTGAAAAGATACCGCAGGGCGACTGTATTCTAAATAATAGAAATTGGTCACAGATGAAACCTGGTAATGTCCCCAACGTAAAGCCGCACCCAACAGAGAAGAGGCTGGGTGAGCCGGCAGACCGTTATGTAACCAGACTTGGAAAGCTTTCGCCCATTAACCGGCTTCCCCGCATTCATTCAGGTCTACCACCGTTCTGCTCGGCGTTTCTTGCAGCTGTCTCTTATTTTCTCGTCCCCGGCCTAAAGCCCTAAAGATAACTGCAGGCTTAGGCCTAGGTCACGTAATTGCTTTCCCCTCCGCCTATGCTATATGGTTGCACCTAGCAGGGCGCGACTAGGGCGTTTCTCCGAGCCTTATCGCTCTCCGAGAAGCCGGGAGCCCGGATGGGTGTGTTCGATCTCCCGCACTACGGCTGCTTGCCGGGGTTGTTTAGTGAAGGGGGGCGGGGGGGGGAGAAGAAAGGAGCTAGGCATTGTCCGAAACCGGCTAACAGAAAGAAGCTGCAAATCCCACGGCGGGAAAATGGAAGCGCCTGCCCATCCGCTCGCCAGCAATAAATCTCGGCGCTCTATAAATCAGGGCGGGCGGATTCCGAGGAAGAGAGAAGCGGCTGGCGGGGATGGCGAGGGATGCGCACTTACGTGGCGTGGATGGTCCCCGGCTTCAGGGCCACCTCGACCTTGTATTTGGCCCCCGTCAGCAATTTGATGGTGCGGTTCTGACCGAACCTCTGGCCGTCCACCTTGAAGTAGACGGGGCCGTCATTCGGCTGGATCTTGAGGGAGACCTTGATCCGGACCACGGGGGGCACCTCGGCCATGGTGCTGGCGGCGCGGCTGGAGGGACTCTAAAGAAAGAGGAGGAACCCGAGCTCAGCCCCCCGCGAGATGACGATCGCGGCCCGTTAAGCACCCGCTCCAATCCGGAATCGACCAAACCGGGCCCATCTGTGCCTGGTCGGTTTTTCTAGCCGCGAAAGCGAATCCGGTTCGGCCTGCTTCCTGCGCTCGCCCAATCCACGGGGTGACCGAGGGAGGGACTCAAACCCGAACAGCTGGAGCGCGGGATAAGGTGGGCGGAAAATCGGCTGGGGGAAAGAAGGGAGGGAAAAAAAAAAGTAGCGTGGATTCGAATTGACCCGGTGGCGCTTGGCCCGGCGCCGTGGCTATAAATCGCTGCCTGCGCCCGCGGAGGGCGAAGTTGAGCGGCGGTAGCTCTTGCCTCGAAGAAGCGAGCGTAGGCGCCCTCTGCCCGTCTAGATCCATTGCTCTTGCACTGCATTGGGCTGGTCCAGCTGAGACCCCCCCACCTGCAAATAAGGGAGAGGGAAAGTGCTTTTGTTTCTCGGTATTGATTGTTTCCTAGTATGATTCGATTGCTTATTTGAACCCTGTGACTATCATTAAGTGTTGTACCTTATGATTCTTAACGAATGTATCTTTTCTTTTTATGTACACTGAGAGCGTATGCACCAAGACAAATTCCTTGTGTGTCCAATCACACTTGGCCAATAAAGAATTCTAATCTTCTAATGTCTCCTCCCTCATTGCTAGCTAATGGGGAAGCAGATTGGGTTTGCTGAGCTTTGACCTTCTGGCCCTCTGGAAGAATTTGCTAAAATAAGATGGTATGGGCAGAGGTTTCTCCTTCGAGCGTGCTGTTTAGCTCATGGATGTTTCATGAACCAAACTAGGTAACGTCTTAAGTGGGGTTTTCAAAGTGTGTTGTTCGTTCATATATAGGTCCTGGGTAGTAGATTCATTTCACCCAAAAAGCCCCCCACTGAAGATGTTACCTACTTTAGTAACGAAACGTCTGGGATCCAGTGGCAGATTAATGCTCCCTGGTGCCCTAAGCACTGACAAATCTTGGTGCTCCCCTCCTTCGTACATACTGTACGAACGAAGCCAAGTTTTTTTTTTCTTTCTCAACTTGTGGTGTCCCCTTTGGGCCTGGTTCCCTAAACACATGCTTAGTCTGCTTAATGGTTAATACACCACTGCCAGGAGCCAAGCAGCAAGCTTAGGGAACAAACATCTGCCCAAATCTACAACCCGAGCTACAAATATTTTCTACAATTTCTAATAAGATGGTATGTTTTCCAACATCACCAGCCTTTTTCAATCTGATGCCCTGCATATGCCTTAGGAGTGTTTGTGCCCTTGGCTCTCAGTCTCAGCTGGCCTTCTCCGGTGAAGCTACAGGCACTGGGCAGCCAAGGATGATAGAAAGGGAGGTACATTCAAACTGCATCCAGACTGGAGAGAACCTTTGCTTTCATTGCCAAAATTAAAGAAGGCACCTGAGCAGGTAGAAAGCATTGCTCGTATGTTTTTCTGGGGAGCTCCTCAGGGCCTGTCCCCTGTTCAACTGCTCAAAGTTGAGCAAGAGAGTGAAGACAGAAGTAGGAGCAGTTTAAGTAAAGAAAACCTGATCAATTAATCCCTTTCCAGGTTTATTATCCTAAAGTGAGGATGATTACAAATCATGGATAAATTGTTGGAATTCCTTTATTAGTCTTCTTAACTGGTTTTTATAGCAAATGCAGCATGGTGGAGGCAATTTCTTCATTCCTGATCATGCCCATTTTCTTTAAGCATTCAAATAATGGTAGCATAGAATAGAATAGAATAGAATAGAATAGAATAATAGAATAGAATTCTTTATTGGCCAAGTGTGATTGGACACACAAGGAATTTGTCTTTAGTGCATATGTTCTAAGTGTACATAAAAAGACAAGATACACTCACCAAGAATCGCAAGGCACAACACCCAATGGCAGTCTTTAATAAAGTTCATAGCTTGAGCTGCTGCAGAATGGGGCCCTGTGAACAGCTTTGGTGCCGCAAGAATGGTGCGCGTAACACCTTTGATGTGAGACTTTCATTGGGTGTCAGTTTGCTTTCAGGTTCAATTCAAGGTGTTGATTATCACATTTAAAGCCCTGCATGGCAGGGGACCAGGTTATCTGAGGAGCCACCTTACTTCTATCACATCAGCTCATCCCATCTGGTCAGGCAGGGAAGGTATGTCATAGAGTCTGTCAATTAAAGAATTTCAACTGATGGGATCAAGGGAAGAGGACATTCTCTGCCCCTGCCCACTGGAATAACCTCCTCTCAGAGGTTAAGTGGGCCGTCATTCTCCTGGCCTTTCAAAAGAGTTTGAAGACCAGGTTCTTCCAATTTGTAGAGTGGCACATAATCCCAGAAGTGGTTAGCTCCCTAAAGCCTCTTCCCCTGCCTTTTAACTTTTAACTTAGAAAGGGACTTCAGAGATTTTCTAATCCAACCTATTCTTGGTTTTTACCTGGCCCCTTTTATTAATGTATTGCATTTTATATTATTTTTATGTTTTAATGCTGTTAATTGTACACCAGCCAGAGGCATTCTGAGAATGAGATGGATATTATCTACATTAGACAGACAGACAGACAAAATGGGGAAAAGCTTTTCAACTGGAGGGCTACATTTTTTAATGAATAAGCTTCTTGGTTCACATGCTATGAGCAAATGGAAATGGACAGTCTTTCATATCCTTGGTACCCACATTAAAACCACCCATAGCTTTCTCAACCAAATTACTCTCCCAGTAAGAGAGAGAGAGAGAGAGAGAGAGGGAGAGGGAGAGGGAGAGAGAGGGGGGAGGGGAGGAAGGGGGGAGAGATTCTCTTCTAAAGCAATAAAACTTGGGAAAAGACATATTTCAATGACATCAGTGGAAGTTTTGGAGAAAACCCTTGTTGCATTATTGGAAATCCAGTTCCTGCATAAATGGTTAAACTTGGGTTGAACTCATCTCCTGGAGAGCATGTGTTTTCTCAGTAACCATGTAGGCATGGCTTTTAATTGCTTTCTTTGATTTCCTGATTGTCTCTCATCCATGAAAATGTTAACCAGAACAGTCCAAGGTTGGCTAGCGGTTTCTAAATATGGCCTGCCCACTACAAGATTGCCATCTGCTGGGTATGTAAAAGATGCTGCAATATTTATGGCTTCAAGACTCAGACAAAATCAGTATAGTGTGAATTACATTGCAGTATAAGAAAAGGGGGCAGGGTGGCTCAGTGGCTAAGACTCTAAGCTCTTGTCGATCAAAAGGTCGGCAGTTCAGCGGTTCGAATCCCTAGTGCCGCATAACGGGGTGAGCTCCCGTTACTTGTCCCAGTTTCTGCCAACCTAAGAGTTCGAAAGCACATAAAAAATGCAAGTAAAAAATAGGGACCACCTTTGGTGGGAAGGTAACAGCGTTCCCTGTGCCTTTGGTGTTTAGTCATGCCAGCCACATGACTACAGAGACGTCTTTGACAGCGCTGGCTCATCGGCTTTGAAATGGAGATGAGCACCGCCCCCTAGAGTCGGGAATGACTAGCACATATGTGCGAGGGGAATCTTTACCTTTACCTTACCTATAAGAAAAGTGTATGTATACCAGTACTTGGTGAGAAAGAAAGAGGAGCAAGTTCTTTTCAAGTAAGATTAACTTCATATAGAATTGTGTAATCCACATTTGCAAAAATTGTCTATTATAAATCTACATTTCCCACTTAATAGATTATTCTGCTAGTCTTATCAGCTCCTCTTAGAAAACAAGAGAGAAACAGGCTGCTTCCTTTTGATCCCCTATTATTAGTAGCAATACTATACAATATATTTTAAATTGAGATATAATTTAAATATGTTTAAGAAAAAAAGGCAACCATCTATATCTAATGCCTTTTGATGTTGAGACCCAAATCAAATGAATTTCCTAGTATTGTTTTCAACAGGGTCTGATTACAACTGATTACTGACTATTTTAATCATAAAAAGAACAATGATGGTGAATAGATACACAATTTTATATAAATTGCAGAGTGAGGAAGATCCAGCTTTAAATATAGTTTCATTTGATATTCTTTTTTTTTTAAAAAAAAGTTCATTATATATCCAAAGGTCAAACTATGGCATCTGTTACTGATTGTTTCTGTTTATATTTTAACTTTTAAAAATAGTAGGTAAAAAAGTTGAAAGCATATATAAGTATTTTTATCTGGGAACTTGATTTTATGGTGAAATAGGGGAATAAATCTGCCTAGAAGTAACTTATTTGTGCAGAGGAATTAGTCAAAGACACACACACAAATGCCATAATATATCTATTTACTCTGTTATTATACACTGCAAGATCTGGTTAGGAGATCTTGTAGTTTTGTAATAACAGAGTAAATACACAGATCATTAGATCAGTCATGGTTAACAAGTGCAGTTAATAAATAACAAAATACTTAGTAAAAATGCAGGAGCTAGGAAGAAAACTACAGTATATTTTTATCGCACAATGAACTAGACTTTGTAAAAATTGGGTAACTATATTAGCTTTGCTAGTCTTCACTTGTAATATTTAACAAAAAGTTAAATTATGACCTAGATAAGTTGCATTATTGTCAGAAAATCAAATAATGGGTCTCATTTTTATTTATTTATAAAATGTATTGATTTCTCATCTTACTACAGGGTAACTCTTTTGACAAATGTCCTTTCAGCACCACAGGTGTGGATAGTTACCAGGGAAGTGATATTTTCAAAAGGTTACTCAAATTAGTGCATTGGTACAAACATTGAGATAATGTTAATTCATCCTGCTAGCTTCAGCTTTGTAATCAAACTGGGGGTCAGTTTTGAAAAAAAAAAAGTGCTACTTTAAGCCTTTATACAATGAATGTGTGCATTATAGTTACTTATAAGTGAAAGAAAATCTTCAGTTCTGAATGTCTGGATAACATGAAAAACTGTATGTAAGATTAAATGGCTAAATTTGTACAATCTGATAATAGAAAATTGGAAAAAATGTATGAGAAAATAGCAGTGATGTCATTAAACTATAAGTTTTAATTTACTCACCTTAGTAGCAAAAACACTTTGTAATGGCTAATGAAATGAACATAGATTTATGCACACTTCACACCTTTATAAATGCAGAATCCATGTTTGTAATTCTGCAACCAATTATTCACTGATACATTAATATCTGCACTCTCTTCCAGATTTGTATATGGCTTTTAAATACCACTGATCAAAATTAAAAATGTAAAACAATATTTTTCAACAAAGGGTCACATGTAAAAAAATAAAACATAAAATATGTTATTGTTATTTGAAGGATATCCCTTTGGTCAAACTTTATTAAGTTTATTAGACTTCAGTATGTATCATTCCAATGATATTTGATGACAGAACAAATGCTTGATACTAATCCTTGAGAAACAACAGTTTATTAATAATCTTGGTTAATTGTGTTGCACAGTTGGAAACAGGTGAAATGCTACCGGTTTGCACAGATTCGGGCAAACCAGTAGTGGCAGAGGTGGGTGGTTCAGAGAACCGGTAATGGCGGCAGCACAAGGCTCCCTCCACCCACCCAGATGTTGTTACTTCCTGGTTTTAACAAGGAAGTAACCTCTTTTTTTACCTTCTGCACATGCGCAGAGGGTCCAAAATCGCACATAGAGTGCACTCACAGCGCACACACTTCCGAACCGGTAGGAAGGTAAGTAGATTTCACCCCTGCTTGGAAAGCAACAGGTGCACTCTTTAATAATGAATATGATGGGACTTCTGTATAGCATTATATGGTTATGATCACTAAAACTTTGGTTGAATCCATGTCATTTAATACAAGATGATTGTAGAGAATTAAACTCATTAGCTAGGTACTTCTAAACCAAAATAGGCAGCTTGCAGCTCTAATTAAATCTGTTTCCTTCTTTGCAGTCCCTGGAATCCCCAAGATTAAATGACTAAAAACATATAGTAAGGCATTAAAAATGATCACATTTACGCTTCTATTAAAATCAAGATCCAACAATGCCTAGAGGCTAGGAGAAAGAGCCTCCCCAATGTTTGCATTTATTTATACTTTATTTATTAAATATAGCTACATATATAAAAGTATATAACGAGTTTGTCACTATATACTATAGCCGTGATGGCGAACCTATGGTACGCATGCCGGAAGTGGCACAGAGAGCCATCTCTCTGGGCACGCCAGCCGTCACCAGTTGCTCTTTCAGGTTCTGGTCTTCGCGCATGTGGGAGTGCTGGAAACTGGAAGACTAGCTCCCCAGCACGCATATGCACGCTGGAAAACTCAGCTTCCAATTTCCAGCATGTGCACTGGCCAGCTGGTCTTTGCATACGCACTCGCATCAGAAACTGGAAGACCAGGTGGCTGGCACGCATGCGCATTCCAGAAACCACAAGTTTAGCTTCCCTGCATGCACATGCACACCGGGGAGCTGCTCTTCCGGTTTTCAGTGCTCCTGTATGCGCGCACTGGGGAGTTGTTTTTCCACTTTCCTGCGCTCCCATGCATGCACAACAGGGAGCTGCTCTTCCGGTTTCCAGCAGGCGCCGGGGAGCTGCTCTTCTGGTTTCTGGTGCTACCCTCCCCCACACATGTGCTCCTGTTTCAGCACTCGGTGCTGAAAAGGCTCGACAACACTACTATAGATTACAGTAGCAATAGCATTGCCTTCCCTATGAACAGGTTACTTGCATTAGCTGTTAATTAGAACCAAAATGAGGGAACTGAGATACGTTTAATAAACACATAAATGATCTTGTTCAATCAAAGGGCCCTGGAGCAATCAACTCTGTTGGATCCTTTTGAACCAGGTTTCAGATCCAGATATGAATACAGAAACTGATACAGAAACAGCATTGGTTGTGCTCATTAATGACCTCTGGCGGGAGCAGAATGGAGATAGTGCATCCATCCATCTTGACCTTTCGATAGCTTTCAATACTATCAACCATGGCATCTTTTTGGGCCAACTTAGGGAGTTGAAGATGGGTGCACAGTTCTATTCTGATTCATCTTCTTCCTCCTAAGCCAGTCCTAATCAGGGTTGATAGCTGACAGCCTCTGCTTTGGGGGGAGGGGGGCGCACAGGGCTCAGTGCTTTCTCCACTCATTTTTAACCTCTACATCAAACTGTCTGCTAAGATCATCCATCATCAAGGGGATATATCATGTTGTAAGCTGCCTAGAGTCACCATGTAGTGAGATAAGTGGCAAACAAATTTAGTAAATAAAAAAATAACAGAATAACATTATTAAAAGGGACCTTGGAAGTCTTCTAGTTCAACCCCTTGTTCAAGCAGGAAACCCTATACCATTTCAGACAAATGATTGTCCAATCTCTTCTTAAAAACCTCAAGGGTTGGAGCATCCACAGCTTCTGGAGGCAAGTTGTTCCACTGATGAATTGTTCTCACTGTCAGGAAATTTCTCCTTAGTTCTAGGTTGCTTCTCTCCTTGTTTAGTTTCCATTCATTGTTTCTTGTCCTGCCTTCAGGTGCTTTGGATAATTGGGTGACCCCCTCTTTTTGTGGCTGAAAAAGCTGTATCCCATTTGATTAAAAAATAAAATAGTAAGAACTGCTGATGGTTACAGTATAGAGGTGTACACATATGCACGTACAGAAAAAAATCTATCATTGCTATTATATTATTGCATTGCAAAAATGCTATGCATTTTGGTTTCTCCAGAACTCTGTATCAGACTATGACGGAGGAAGAGGAGAGAAACAGGAAAAGCCTCATATGACTCAGTATCATCCAAATCCCATATCCACTCCCATTTCTGTTGGCTTTGTCTGTCATCTAAATTGGAGAACAGTTCTGGAGAATTTGAAAATTGCTCATTATTTTGTGCTTAGAGCTTAGCTCACTAAAACTGTAGATGTAGTCATTTTTCTTACAGGGAATATAGTACTCATTGCTGTGAGGAGGCTACATTAATATAAGACAAAAATCTTATTTTCAGTACCAGAAGAGGGCGCTTTTGTTATTAATGTAAGACTTCACCATAATCCATGTAAGCATAGAATTACAAATCTTTAGAACTGTCCTAGAGCTTTGCAGCCATTTCTCTTGTTTTGTAAAATAACAGCAGAGTTATTTCATATTTATTGTGGGCTTTCCAATCTCTTTCTTCTAAACCCTCCTTTTATTGTGATAATATTTTTTTTCTAAAAGCAAATGTTACTCTTATTCTCATATTTTCTTTCTGCGAGATGAGAATGGGAAGAGTTTTTAGACTTAGTTGGCACATTCACCTTAATTGAGAATCTTATAGATTATAGTATACACAATTATCTAATAGAGCAATGGTAGACTGACAACTTTCTTCAGATTGGAACTGTTTCATTATTTTCCGTAAGATTCATTCCAGGTGCTTTTCCCAAATCACAGAGAGATTTGAAATATAGAAACAGGTTTTGCAAAAGAATTGGGAGACATCAATCCTTCTCCATCCCCCACCCCCAAACACACAGTTTGATCCCATACAGCTTTTCAGGAATAAAAAGAGCTATGGGAGAAAGAAGAATTGGCAGAACTTATCTCTCAGCAGAAGCATTGTATGAACACGTCCAAATCTAGGGAATAGAATAACAGAGTTGGAAGGGACCTTGGAGATCTTCTAGTCTGACCCCCTGCTTAGGCAGGACACCCTACACCACTTCAGACAAATGGTTATCCAACATCTTAAAAACTTCCAGTGTTGGAACATTCACAACTTCTGGAGGCAAGTTGTTCCACTGATTAATTGTTATGTCAGGAAATTTCTCCTTAGTTCTAAGTTGCTTCTCTCCTTGATTAGTTTGCTTCTTGTCTTGCCCTCAGGTGCTTGGGAAAATAGCTTGACTCCCTCTTCTTTGTGGCAACCCCTTACTCCATTTGCATCAAAGCATAACATAAATAGGGCATCCTTTTTTGTCTGGCTATATTTCTGAGAAAGGCTTAAGATGTCCTTAACTGTAATGCTATCAACTACAGGAATCTTTCCTCTGCATATTCCAATATCCCCCAGAAGAGGACTTAGTATGAGTAAGATCTGTAAGGCTTTGTAACTCGTTACCATGGAAGGAAATCAGAGGACAATAGGTTCTTGAAAGAGAGTCATTTGAGACAGAATAGAGATGAACAATGGGTACAACAGATTTCATTCTTGCATAATTTTTCACCAGATCAGAGTTGATCAGAGAGCACTTGAGTTCAGCAGTGGGAAAGCTTCTTGCTCATAATGTATCCACAATCTAAAAATACCATTACTGAATGAAGGGAACACCCATCTACTGTAGGTATTTCTGCTTTCTTTTCTTCTGAGGATTGTTTGAGAAGGTAGGCTACATTTATACTGGGCTTTTATGGTGTCCCAAGCTTCTCTCATACATTATTGTGTCAAGATCCATAATTATGATCCTTAATTAACAAAATTTCCATTCTGTTTCTCTTTTATTTGAGTGCTTTGAATTTTAATGAAAGATCTATTTGTTGTCCATCCCTATCATTCAAAATGGATTACATCAAATGATCAAAAAGATTCTTAAATAATAAAATCAGAATCAGAGCAACACCAATATCCCAGCTTCTTAAAAACTCAGACAGTAAAACTGCTAATAAGAACGTAAGTTTTTCAACATTCTGAAAATTTAAGACAGAGGCATCTGTAATAAGCTTTTCCAGAAAGGCAGCACCAATTTTTCCGGAAAAGAAAACATGGAAAATTATGCTGAGAAGATGACATAAAAATCATTCCCATTAATAAGAGCCCTAAATAATGGATCAAATAATCTTCATCTGGATCTAATTCAACAAAAGCAAAGTGCCACATTTATTTTGCTTTCTTTTTCAAGATAACTGTTTTTTGATGACTGACAAAAGTTAAATAAATATCTCAGGTTGGTAATTGCTGAGTTGTCCTCTCATTTAATGAAAATATGTCTCTGGGTTCATGTTATTTGTATGTACTTAAAAGAGAAAAACGTTCTTAATTTAACCTTTACATTTGCTTCTACACGTCCTTCTTCCGGAAGAGGAAGTGAGCATGCTTTCATGTGATTAACAATCAGAGGAACTTGTGAAAGTGATAACTATATAAATGCAACTTACAAAGCTCTACTGAACTCAACTAAAGAAGAACAGTGCAAAGATGGAACAAGGACCTGAACGAGAACCCAGACGGATAAAGGAAGGCTATCTAGTGAAGAAGGTATGTGAGGATTATATGGAATTTCATTCTTATGGAATTACAACTGTGTATGTGTCTGTATTTATAATATACATACATTTATTATAATATACATATAAGTATAATATATTTTTTTCTTTTACTTCAATTGTGTCCGAATCTTGGAGACTGCCTGGGTGAATCCCTGCAGTTTTCTTGGCAAGATTTTTCAGAAATGATTTGCCCTTGCTTTATCTCTGCAATATTTTAGAGATTGGTCCCTTTCAGGCCTGTTGGCATATGCTTTCCATTTTCTACCAATGCTAAAACTGGGGAATGACAAAAAAGTAAATTGGTACTTATTTTCTTTGAGAATACTGGGATTGTGACCAAACCCAAGAAACGTACAACCAGAAATATTAAATCTTCCAAGATTTAATATTACCATCCATTTGTCTGGCTGATTGACTGAATATTTGGCTGCCAACTCAACACTGTCACTCACTGAAAAGACTTCTGCAAGCATGGCTTTCTCTCTCTCCAAGATTAAGGGTGTGTTATTGTTCCCATCCTCACCTGATCCTGAAGGGAGGCTGAATTACAGAATGCTAAAGGAGCATTTGAGTATGTCTAGTTTGATGAAAAGAAGGACTAAGGGTGACATGATAGCAGTGTTCCAATATCTCAGGGACTGCCACAAAGAAGAGGGAGTCAAGCTATTCTCCAAAGCACCTGAGGGCAGGACAAGAAGGAATGGATGGAAACTAATCAAAGAGAAAAGCAACCTAGAACTAAGCAGAAATTTCCCGACAGTTAGAATATTTAATCAGTGGAACAATTTGTCTCCAGAACTTGTGAAAGCTCCAACACTGGAAGTTTTTAAGAAGAGATTGGACAACCATGTGTCTGAAATGGTATAGGATTTCCTGCCAGAGCAGGGGGTTGGACTAGAAGACCTCCAAGGTCCCTTCCAACTCTATTGTTCTGTTCTGTCCTGTTCTGTCCTGTTCTGTTCTGTTCTTAGTAATTGATCCATCAGAAAGACAATGTAATTTCCCTTTCCTAATAAGAATTAGTCTTAATGACCAATTCTCTAGGTTAATGACCAAAACTATGCCCTCTTAAATTAGTAGTTGCAACAAATCTTTCTAATCATCCAGTCTGTGGTGGGATTTTAATTGATGTCATGTATTTTAATCAATAATTTATTTTTTTTATCTATTTAAGCAATAGTGAGATTTAATGCAGTATAAGCCACAGTGGAAAACTCTTTTTTAAAGCAAGGCATTCAAATTTTTAATAAACAATTGTTCCAAAAGATTTTGTAGGAAGAATTAAATTAAAATTAAGACAACTTAAAGCTGTGAGTGATCAGATTTCCATAAAATCTGGATAAAACTATGCATTATGACAAAGCATACTATTGAAAGTAATATGTTTGGTTTTGGCTTGTCGTGTTGTATGAAGTTCACCATTTTGGCTTGTGATCCAGAGTACGGCTTAGTGTAGTGCAAAAATCTAGCTCTGTATGGCACACTCAATAAAGCATGGTTAGCAAAAAAAAAATCCTGCCACTGAATTCTTCTTAATTAGGGCTTCAAAGACAGAAACTGAAATCCTGATTAAGCATGAAACTTATCATGTGATTAGCAACCTGTTTGAGGTTCCACCCACTCATCCTTGTTATTCAGTTCCACCTACATCATGAAACTGGATTTCACTGTAAGTAAGATTGCTTCCTTCTCAATTGCTGCCACTTTGAAAGTCAGCCTTTGAAATAACACACCATCTCTAATCAGCACTAAGAAAGTGTTTCCCCACTTCTAATGTTATTTGCATGGTAGAATTTTTACAGAAAATGTGGTTAATGGACAAAAGGCTTAAATTTTCTCTTTTCCCCTACTGTGATTTTGGTAACAGTTGCCTCTTTTCACTAGTCCTGTGCTTGGTATGTGCTCTGTTTATAAAATGGGTTCTGTTGTCAGAACATTTATCTGTTATCACAAGAAAAGGCTTGGCTGATCAGTAAAATTATCCCTTGTGTAATGGCAGCTTCTGATTTTTTTTTTGTACCTAGTAGTGCAAAGACATTACATAGATATTCCTTTCTTTTTTCTTTTTTTCCTCCCTTCATGGTTCTCTCACTGCTGTAATGTGATACTAATTAAAGTAAAGGGGAACAAATTTATCTTTCATTTTTATTTTCCCCTGTAGATCCACAAAAACTCCGTAACATGGAAGAACTGGAGTAAAGTTGAGTCCACTAAAAGTTAGAATTAGAATTAGAATTCTTTATTGGCCAAGTTTGATTGGACACACAAAGAATTTGTCTTTGGTGCATATGCTCTCAGTGTACATAAAAAGAAAAGATACATTTGTCAAGAATCATAAGGTACAACACTTAATGACAGTCATAGGGTACAAATAAGCAATCAAATAATACTAGGAAACCATCAATATAAATTGTAAGGCTACAGCAACAGTTACAATCATACAGTTGTAAGTGGGAGGAGATGGGTGATAGGAACGATGAGAAGATTAATAGTAATGCAGACTTAGTAACTAGTTTGACAGGGTTGAGGGAATTATTTGTTAAGCAGGGTGATGGCATTCAAGAAAAAACTGTTCTTGTGTCTAGTTGTTCTGGTGTGCAGTGCTCTATAGCATCGTTTTGAGGATAGGACTTGAAACAATTTATGTCCAGGATGCGAATCTGTAAATATTTTCACAGCCCTCTTTTTCACTCGTGCAGTATACAGGTCCTCAATGGAAGGCAGGTTGGTAGTAATTGTTTTTTCTGCAGTTATCCTCTGAAGTCTGTGCCTGTCATGTTGGGTTGCAGAATCAAACCAGAGTTATAGAGGTGCAGATGAAAGACTCAATAATTCCTCTTTAGAACTGTATCAGCTTTAAATTAAAACTCCGTAACATGGAAGAACTGGAGTTAAGTTGAGTCCACTAAAAGTTATTTCTAGTATATTTGCGTTGGAGGTTAAAGATTTAGGGGAAACAAGGAAAGGGGAACTTTTGCAATACCGTGGGCAGGGATGGGAAAGTATGGAGGCAAATTACTTCCAATACAAGTAGAAACTGAAAAGAGGCCCAGCAACATGCCGTATGTAAGGGCAGAATGGAGAACTGGGCTTCTAAAAGTGAGTGGGGAAAACACAGGGTGGGGAAAGTTCATTGACTGAATGGACCATTATTTGATTAACCACACACTAATAACTAAATGGCAGCTGCTGACCAGCAGAGAATGTAGCAATCCTGGACAACATTGCTGCACAGAGAGTGTACGTGGGCTTAGAAGAGAAGACAACTTCAAAACCTGACATTTAAAATGACCTGGGAGTGGGTAGAGAATTATTTTTATCTGTTGCTGCATTCATGAAGTGACTTAAAGTCAACTTGCCTTCAACTAATGGGAATTTGGACAATTTAAACCGGAAAATCAGGGCTGCGTTCATCCAATTCACTGATCTACATTTTAATTATAGTATTCAATTAACACGAATGGCTAAACTTGTACAAGATATTGCTCCATAAACTACCCACTTGATCAACATAGCACACCCAGCTAAAATAGTAAATTGTGGTTTGTGGATCACTGGGACTTGCAGGAACCTAGCCCTGTGGGATGATTAGCAAAGCTCCGGAAGCAGTCAGGAAATGCTAAGACCACAAAAGTAAATTCAGTGGAATATGGGCAGAACTAAAGTAGTGTATAGATAAGATATTTCAGTTAATGGAATTATAAGAGCAATGACAAGAATAGAATCCGAAGCACTAGTCTAATATTGTTTTTTGCTGGTTTGTTTTGCGCTCCTTTTCTCCATTTCCTAGAAATGTAAAGGCTTAGGAAAAAAAACACTATGTGATAAATGGAACATATTTTTCTCCTCCTATCCTCCTTTCCATACCTTCACTTCCTTAATGCTGTGTCAGTATGGGAGAAAATCCTCAGATGATTGTTAAACATACATCATTTGAGGGGTTGTTTTCCCATAGCGACATAGTGTGGAAGATATAGACAGATACCCTTATAAAACTGTAAGCAAATTAAAAACAGTGCTTCGTTAAACATAGTCATACAAACCACGTCAACAGTAATTGAAACAAAAACTCATACAAAGGCTCAATTTAAAAAAAAAAATGGTCTGCAAGAATCACATTTGTAGGTCTCATTTAGAAGCAGGGAAGAACCTAAAAATGAATTGAACTGCTCATGGGAAAAAAATTCATTGAAATTGGCACAGTTCTGCCAATCCCTCATTCAAACTACTGCATTTGGCTCAGCTGAGCCTTCAAGGGCAGCTATATAGAGTATAGGACATTTCCATGGTAATTCAGCCGGAAAAGGAGCAATAGTGCAATTCCAGGCATATGGATGCTGAAACCAGAATTTAATGGGATTTAGATCAGTGCGTTTAGGACTGCATATGGGGAAGGCTCTATTTAATTGTGCATGCAGGCTATGTAGTATATGTAGTAAGACTTTGGGTTCTGAGAGGTGGCTTAAACTGGGGAAATTATATCTTTGTAACAGAAAAGAGAAAAGGAGAAGTAAAGGTTTAGGGAAGTGGCATGGATGCTATTTCTTCATTTTATTTAATGTTCCTTTCCCAGCACCCATAAAAATAACACCATTCCTGTGGCAAGAATTTCTCCCTTGGCTTTGATCTGTGTTTCAGAGAAGAATTGATTTCAGTTTCAGATGAGTTAGTGAAATCTGTAGGATTCCAGCGAATTTTTTTTTCCAGCCTGTCAAGTACATTGCAGTACAGTTGCATGGGTTCAAGCTATTCACTAAGAAAAACCTTATACATAATGTGGTTAGAGATTTCATTTGAACTTTGTTGTATTTTTGGGAGACACCGATCCTTTTTGATCTTGTAAAAGAAGCCATATAAATTGTATAACTAAATAGTAACATATTTTGGATCAGGCATTTTTGACTATTTTTAGATGTCTTTTGCAATCAGGATGCTATGAATTGGGAAACACCAACTATGCAGCACTCATTCTTTCTGGTTAAATTGACA